CGCCCCCGCCTCTCCCCGGGAGCGCCCGTCCGAACGCCCCGGGAGCGGCGGCCGAGGGTGCCCCGCTCCCGCTGCCCCGGGCACGGAGACCGGGAGGGAGAGAGGGAAGATGGAAAGCGAAGGAGTCGGGAAGGGTCCCCACCGCCCCCTCACAGCTTACCCAGGACGGACGTGAGGCACAGGAGCGGCAGCCACATCGCTGCCCGAGCGATCACTGCCCGAAGAGAAAGCAAGACCCGCCCCGCACCGCCCAGCCCGGCCCTCCGCCGGGAGCTCCCCGTGGGCACTTCTGGGAACTCGGGGAGTGGGGAAAAGGGCCTTCAGCCGCCCCCCGGGGGCACATCCTGTGCGGTGTGGGATGCCATGCGGGGCCTTGGAGTGCCAGGTGGTGCCGCGATAGGGGCTTGTGGTTCGTGGGGCGCAGCGCCAGCAGGTGCGAACAGAAGTTGTCGTGTTGCTCTTCCATCAGGGAGGTTCATCTCTGATAATTGAAAAGCTGAAAGTAAATCAATTTAGTGTGGAGTGGGAGCTGCGCAGGTTAGGTGAAGAGAGAATTTCAGCAAGCAGCTTGCCGCCTTAGAAAATGATCGCAGAATTGTTTGGGTCAGTTCAAACCCCTCTGCCATGGACAGGGACACCTCGGCTCCTAATGCTCCCTGAAACCTGGTGTTTAACACTCCCAAAAATGTCCACTGTTCTCTTCGAGGGACACCTGGCAATGCTTCCTTTTGAGGGGTGGGCTCAAGGCTAAGTCTGGCCATGCTCTCCTGTTCCACCCAAGGTGAAGTTGTTCTCTGGGGATGGTGAGTGAAGGAAAAGAAATAGAACAAAACCAGCTCTGACTTCTAGGGGTTTTCTCTGACACCAGCTGCTCAACAGCCCATTCACAAAACTCAAACACACTTAAATTCTGTTTCATGGATGACTGGCCTCTTGACACTACTGAGTGTTTTTGAGGAAGAAAGGGAAAATACCACAACAGTTTGGAAAACGTAAGTACTCAGCAACTGTTAAAAAACTGCTACTCTGACAAATATTCCAGCGGCAGCTGTGAGTAAGCTTTCCTTTCATGGCAGTGAGTTGCTGTGAGTGGAGGCTTCAACCTCCTTCGCCTGTATCCCACTCACAGTGCTTTACCCTGGCTGAGAAGGGTCCAGGTGCAGACCCTACAGCCTCAATGCTCAGCTCTCAGCAGCTTGTCTGTCTGTCCTGGGGAACAGCAGCACAGCACAGTGCTGTGAGGGAGGCTCTCACCACAGGTTTGTCTCGCAGTCAGATCTCTCCCAGTGCACTTGGCCCACACATTCACTGACAAGCAGCTGTGCTGGGCTGTTCACCATCCCTTTGAGAGACCTCAGCTTTGCACTTCACACAACAGAATCTGAAAAAAATTGGCAGCCATTGATATCTCTAAGCAGAGGTCCTTTTCCAGAGTAAGCACTGAAGTTATTCCTACTCAGGGATTTTTTCCCCCTTCCTTCTAGGAGTTACTGTAAGCTCCTTTTACTCTTCACTGATGGCTGCTGCATGAGGTGGAATGATGCTGCATCTTGAGCTGAGCAATGCTGTCTTGTTCAGTTCTTACAAAAACAGAATAATACTGATCCTTTCTCCATAGCTGTGTTGGAACATCATGACATGCAACTCACAAATGAAGGCCCATCCCATAAATTCCTTTTGCTCAGTGACAGAAACCCACACAGAGCTTTTCTGTCCATTGGTTACCTTTTCCCCTCTGTTCTTAATCTTTGACAAGCATCCAAAGGAGCTCCCTGTGCTGTGAAGGCTCTGAGTCACAGTGTTTATGCCAGAAGTGTAACATGGCCACATTCCTTCAGCACTCTCATGGCAGGAGCACCTGTTCTGTGCTGCTGACTCATCCTCTTCTCAGGTAAAATGTTCTCTCAAGATGTCAGAGGCTTTGGATTGAATCTTGTGGCTGGGAGGATGCTTGCACACTACAACTTTCCTGCAGGTCATGAAATGTCTGAGGTTAGGAGAGAGAAATTTGAAGCAGTTTCACTTTGAAACAGGTGATTTTAGGGTGGAAGGAACCACGGAGGTCACCCACATGCTCTTAAGGCAGGCCTATGTTCCTACTGAGCTGCTCCACATTGTAGAAGATGATTAGGGCTTCACAGGGCAGAGAAACTGAGAGAGAAACTTGAACCTGGAGGCTGGTGCCCTCAACTAGGTTCTTCTACTTGGTAATACATGGTAAGGATGCATTCTCCCTTATGTATACTTACACAGGTGAAAGATCCATAAAGTACTCAAAAAAACCTCAGATTGCTGGTTTTCCTCCTTTCCTGACAGAGTACCCAGGCAGACTTGCCCATATTTTCCCTTCCTCAGTTGCCAAGACAATCTTTAATGCATACATCCTGCTCTGCCATTGCTGAGACACACTTCTGAAAGCCAAGAGTTCAAATTACTTTTTGTTGAGATGAGAACTAATCCCAGTTCCTCTGTCAGTCCTGGGAACAATACACAGGAGTCTACATGCTTGACATGGTTTCTACTTCACAGGCAAATGACAGAAAATACAGGAGCTCTGAGATCAAGTATTCTAGCAGTAGGGGGGATCCAGAATTTAAGGAAGGTGTATTTAATGTCCTTCTTCAAGTTCAAAGGCCACAGGGAGAGGTTTTAAATAGTCATCATTTGCTTAGCTTACACTTAGCTTCCCCCAAGGTGCTGCTATGCCAATTGCATTGTTTCCAGTATCAAAAATTAGTTTTCCAGGCTAAGTGAATTTTCCTGTGATGAGATTTCCACTTGACAACAGGATATTTGCAGTGCTTATGTGCCTCTACCAGCTGTTGCTTTGTGGGTGGGGACTTGACACTTTCCGCTGAGTTGGGCACTTTCAGCATTTGCTTGAATGTGCAGACAGCACATTTCTGAAATTTTATTTTTAATTAAAAGAATCTGTGCATAAAATCAAGTTTGTTTGCTTTTACTATCCTTGACATACTCAAGCAAATCACACTGTGCCTCGTGGTTGTGCTCTGTAAGGGACTGTTAAACAAAATCTAAAGTGGTTTGAAAGTCTTTGCAACAGCGCTCCCATTGCCATTATAATCACTCCCATTGGGAAGCAAGATAAGTGTAATTAAGTTTCTGAATTAATAGAACTGTAATTACTCTGTAATTAAGTTCACAAGCAATAAAAAGAAAACCCTTCATACCAAAACAGTTGAACTAGTAAGAGCATTTTAAGCACAGAGTAACTTGAGTGGCTTTTGCTGTTTTCATAAGGAATCACACAGTGTGATGCTATAATAAAAAAAAAAAAACAACTCCAGGAATTACTAAATCTGAGAATTCAGAAAAAAATACTACTCAGGAAACAGAATTTTCAATTTCATTAAGACATTTCTTTTTAAAAAACCACCAGTTTTGTGCATTTGCAGAATTGTCAAACACCAGGATGTTGTTTAACAGCTCTGCAAATCACAAAATAAAAACAGATCTTGCACATCTTGGCCCAAGTTTTGTTTAACTCTAGGGCTGTAATACTGGTGCCTGCTTTATATTACATGGCATTTCAAAATTTCCATAGGACTTGGAAAAGAAGGAATGGGCCCATTGGAGTGCGCAGGCTTTATTTTATAATCTGAGATTTGTAAAATAAAATAAGATTAATCTGATGCTGGGGATGGAAAGATGAAGAATGGGCTGGAAGCTAGGAAATGTCAATTGGCATTGCAGCTTTCAGCCTTGGAAAATTGATTGAGTTGAAAAACACAATCACATATTTGTGAGAGGACCTGCCTCTCTGACAATAAGCCAGCTCGATTCTGGAGGCAAGTACTTCAGGCTCAGAAGGTATCTCTGTATGTATCTCTGGGAGGATGAAGTTGGGGTGAGGCTTCAAGAGTCCTCCAGGCCAGGCAGCTGAGGCTGCCTAACTTTCAGTGCAAAGTGGAGAAATTTATCTCAGAAGATTTGGATATAAAATGATCTTCTGCCTAAAACAGCCCCAAAGCCTTCAGCTGGAACAATCTGGGGTGAGGAAATTACTGCTATCACCAGTAATTCTAAAGAAAAGTAATGCCTGATGCTTTTTGAAATGTCTTTGGTCATCTTTCTGATCAGACTGAAGAAATCTCTTTATTTTGTTATTCAACTAAGCCATGGTAGATTAGTACCTGGACAGGAACTTTACTTTGCTCATTGCCCTTCCTGCCATTTCACCAAGGGTGAAGCTGCCTTGTTGAGCACGATGGACCAACACAAAGGATACCGGTGTGTCCTTACCTGAAAGTCCATCTCAGGAATATGGTACCTCTTGTACACGTTTGGGTGTGCACATGTGATTCTCCATCTGTACACATCAAAGTGGTAAAGTTTTTTATTCAAAGGTCTCTTTAAAGTATTTGCACGCTTATGATGCTGGTGCATTACTGAAGTCCTAAAAAATGTGGTCTGGACATGTTATGGTAATATGACCACCAGTTACATTTTAGCCTGCCTTTCCCCTCACTTTTCATATGTAATCAACTCTTCTGCCTTATTTAGGCTGTTACTGGTATCTGACCAGAAGTAGAAATACAGGAAAGGCAGCAATGCAGTAGGAAAATACGATGCAAGGCTGATATGAATCTTCCTGGCATAGACTTACTGTGCAGCCTTGTGATAAACCAGCATCCCTACTCAGCATTTGGCAGAAAGGTCTAGGTAGCAAGGATAAAGCACTGTAACTTTATCACTTGCTGGGGCTGGTTTCACTGGCTGATTTATGAAGTGAGAAGTTTCCCTTGAGGAAAGGGAAGCAGGGAGGAAAGGAAGATCAACACCTTCTTTAACCAAAAAGTCAGTGAAACCTCTGCTTCAAATTTTGACTAATGGTTAAATAAGAGCAGAGGTAATTGCTCAAAATCCAAATTCGGTCGTTTTCCCAAAAGTGCACAGGCTGATTGATCATTACAGAGTCAAGCTGATCATTAACCACAGCTGTTTTTCCCCTGTACAATCCTTATGCTTGTATTGGACGAACAGGAAGATGGATGAAGATCTGAAGAGAAAACTGCTTGTTGTTCTTGCTGTCCTCTTGCTGCCCAGCTCAGCACAAACAGGTAAGAAAAACATGAGTGCCTGGCAAGGGTTGAAGATCTTACAGAGAAGGATCGGAATTCAATTCTCCCTAAACAAGCTGTGTGTCAAGAGGGCCTTGCAATAATCTTGTTAGGTGCTGGGGAGAAAAAGTAGTGCAAGAATGGACCTTTCTTCTCTTTTGCTTTGATTCAATCACTCCCAGTGATTTAATTCCATTAACCTGATTTACAAGAATGATGCAGGTTTACCCTGAAATGTAAGGATGCAGAAAACGGAACACTTGGCCTCTGGCAGTGGCATCTCCAGCTTCAAAAGCACAGCAAGTGTGATCTGCAGTAGCTGAAAGAAAATAGACAAATGCCACACTTCTATTTCTTTCTTTAACGGTACTGTCAGCGAAGCTGCCTTAGTGATCACATCTGCAGTCCCACATCACCTGCAGCTTCACTGCACTGCACCTCCTGCCTTGCCTTTACTGATGATCCCCCTCATTTCACGTCATTTCTGACACTCACTGTGCTGCACTGGACCCACTTTTGCTACTTAGACTGGAGCAGGGCCTACATTTTTTCCAAGATGATCTCTAAAAGTGTCTCTGTCTTCCTTGTCAGTGCACAGGAAGACTGAAATAAACAACAGTAAGGGATGGTCACATCCTTCTAGGGGAATCTGAATATTGGATCTCACCCCTTTGTGCTGACCCTTAGGCCATGTTTTGTCTAGTTGGTGTAAAGTATCTTCTGAGGGAAATTGGGAAGCTGGTTGTTTGATTTAAAAATACATAAATGAATAATTATTTTATCATATGTCAGATTCAAGGCTATTTCACTTCCTCCAGTCCGGAAAGGGAAGGTGCATGTATTGTCATTGCAGCAGGATGCCACTATGCCAGCTCTTAAAGTAACACTGCTAGTGACTCATACTGCTGAACTTTTGTGCTTGCTTTCTAAATTTGCTCAGGTGTTTTTCTAGCTACAGGTTGGATATTTATTTTTTTTCTGTCTAGGTCAAAGTACCTTCCAGCAGCAACCTTTTCTTTCTCATAAAGCATTTTCATCCAGTAAATGAATCAATAGTGAAATTATCATTGACATATTTTTTCATCAGCATTCTCATATTTTATCATGAGCACTCTCATACTTATTTCTGGGTTTTTGATGCAATTGTCAGTTAGACTTGTACCTTTTACTAAGCTTACCAGAATTTGAATAGAAATATCCCCATTCAGTGGTGATTACCTGTCAGCAGCAGCCGTTTTTTTTAAAGATCTAACAGCCACCTCATAAAAGTACTTAGTGGCTGGTGTAGGTGGCCAATTTGCTAAAAAAACCCAGCAAAATATCACTCACCTCTTGGTGAAACAACTCTCAGAAGTCAAAGCTGGTATTACGTCCATGGTTGTTTTCCCAGAGAGCTGGAATTCCATCATAGGACAGAAACAACTTTATCAGTCAGGTAAAGTTTCCAGAATTGCCTTATTTTAATGTATGCTCTATACTTTCAATCTTTATTAATAGAAGTGAAATTGCTACCTTCATTTTCCTAATGAATTTAAATGAGGGGTGTTTTTTTCCCATTGCACAGACACAGACTAAAAGTGCCACTTCCCCCCTGTGCAGGGAATACAGACAGACTCTCAGGGCATCACTGCACTGACTTCCAGACAGCCAATTTCCTACGGGGCAGCAAACTGAAGGTCCAGTTTCTTCTGTTCACCTCCTCAAGCCCCAGCTGTGGAGAGCTGATTTCAGCTGATGATGGCATCAAGAACTGCAGCTTCAACAGCAGCCTGGAAACCAAAATCATCATCCATGGCTTCAGGTGAGAGAAAGATGAGCACTGTGACTAAGTTTTCACTGGGAGATGAAACACTGTGAGAGCGTTCCCAAACACAGGGTGGGCTGGCATGCAACTCTCCTGCTTGTGTGATCTTCTTACCTCCCCAGCAGAGTGACTACATGCAAAATAACTGCTAAGAACAGAGACTGGGATTCTCAGCCCCAAATTGGACCCAGGAATTTTCTGGGAGGCTGTTGGAAAATGCTGCTGACACCCCACCCCACAGCACAACTTGAAGTCCTTTAGTTTGTGACCCAATGTCTTTTCTTTTGTGTGCTTCACACCCTTTGGAGCCTAAAAAAAGTTAGAAATTAGTATCAATTTATTTCCTTTCTCTTTCATTCTCTCTCTTTCTCTCTTTCATTCTCTCTTTTTCTCTCATTCTCTCTTTCTCTCTCTGTCTTTCTCTTTCTTCCTTTCTCTCTCTCTGTCTTCATTCCCATCTTTCTATCTCTTTCCTTTTTTCAACATTTTTATTTAAAAAGCCTTTTCTTTAAGATTTTTGTCCCTTTAAATTGTCTTGCTGGATTTCATGCCCAATAGCCTGGATTAATAAGCCGTTTTGAACTCCAAGCAGACAGATTATCCTTCTGTTCTTGAAAGTGTTGGGATTGGAGCTGTTTTGGTTTTTTTTTAAACTGACATCATTCTGCAAGTTTCTGTGCCATTTTTCAATCAGGTGTAACCATATAATATTATTTGTTTTGAAGTTCAAAAGCCTGAATAGAAAGTGCATAGAAAACCAGGATGAAACCATAGCAGATGTTGCAGGGCCTTCTCAGAAAAACAGCTGTTGCCTTCAAGAGAAATAGCACACTCTTCACTAGCTGGCATTAGAGAAACTGGGTAGAACAGAGCCTCCTCGGTTTTTCTGGAATTCTTTGGCATAGATTATCTTTTTTTTGGTTGTCTAGGGATGAGAAAATGTAGTAGTGAAAGACCAGGTGATCCGGCCAAAGACTTCCTGCCAGTGGCAGCAGAGAAGGATCCAAGTGTTCTCAGTCACCTCACTTGCTCCAGGTGGTCTCTGTGGTGGCTGAACGAATCACCACAGAGAGAGTGAAATCTCAGCCTGAGCCCTGCAAATGTGATCTCATTCATTAAAATATCTGGTTCCCTCCTGAATCAGAGCATTCTGGAAAGTGTTATTACACCACCACCAAAAAAAAATTTCCAGGTGTGGGTGTCTGGCACCAAAAATAAATTTCAGCCTCTGTCTGGCAGCCTCCTCTGAGACATGTGAAGCTCCAGCAGCAGTGAACAGCACAGTGGTACATGCCCTGCTTGGGGAACACCTAACACCCTTGTCTCTGGTGACTCCACAGGGCTTTGGGTACCAAACCTTCCTGGATTGAAGGGCTTGTCCGAGCCATACTGCACACCAGCCAGGTGAATGTGATCGCAGTAGACTGGGTTTATGGGTCTACAGGAGCCTATCCCTCCGCAGTGGAAAATGTCACACAGCTGGCCCTCGCCATCTCACACTTCATCAGCAAGCTCCTGGTAAGCTACTGGGCATTTCCAGTGCAGGGAGCACAGCCAGGGAGTTGCTCCCAACCTGCTGTATCCAGGAGTTGGACAAATGGATTTTTTATTCCAGATTTTTCTGTTTTCCCTCTTTCAATCCAGGCTTGAGTATGCCACCATTTTTATTCTTCCTTTAGAGTTTTGACATTTTCTGGAAAAAATCCCAGTTGTCAGCTGCCTCTTCAGAATAAACCTAAGGCCTGCCTTGGGTTTTCTCAGATCCATAGTCACTGGACAGTCTTCTTCTTCTGCTGATAAATTTTGCCCAGGAAGCTGGAGGAAGTGAGATTTGAAGCTATATTATGTTTGCTCTGGGCTTCAGATACACTTCCCACTCTGTGGAAATACCCAGATGTGCCCCGTTCTGTTCATGCAAAGCACAGCTGAACAAGACTTCTGCAATCAGGGTGATGAATCCTTGTGTTAACAGCTACATGTAAACTCTACATTAAATGTTTGCAGTGTTGACCAATCTGTTTAGGGCTGGGTTTGCATCTGTGGACCTGAAGAAAGCCTCTGAAAAACAGATAAGGGCAATATCCATAATTTCCTAAAGTATTTGGTTTTCCACTGTACGCTTCAAAAGCAATCCTGCATTAGGAGAGTTATAGAGCTGCTGTGTGGGCTGGGACAGGATATTTCACCTTTCTGCTACAGAAACAATAGTTTTTATTATTGTCACCCTGCAGGCCCTGGGAGTCTCAGGGACATCTATCCACATCATTGGGGTAAGCCTCGGAGCACATGTCGGGGGCCTGGTGGGGCACTTCCATGGCGGTCACCTGGGACGGATAACAGGTACCATCAAACTGAGCCTGGAGTCCTCACCTCTCCTTCAAGAGAGAGTGAAAGAGGCAAGAAAGAGGAGTCATTCAAAGTGGTCTTTTAATTTCATAAGGACTCACTAGATCCAAGCTTATGGGCTTCTTCCTAGATTCTGACAGCACCTTTCCAACATCAGTCCCCTCCACACTGCCAAAAGAACACAAGCATTTGCAAAAAGGTCCTTTCACCTCTGCTACACTCTTCAAATTGGTGCCAGCTTAGCAAAGTACAAGCCCTCATGACTAGTGAAAGCCCACAACACTCAGAAGCTTTGCTTCCAAATTACAGCACATACATGTGGTTCTTAGAATTAAAGCCCACAATGCAATTGCAAGGGGAGCAGCCGGAGTGAGCTGCTCTGCAGGAAAATGTGAGCTGAGAGCCAAGGGGACAGTGAGGTGGGTAGTGGCCTCACAGACAAGGGATACAGTCCTACTGTGTTTGGGCAAGAAGAGCAGAGCAGGTCCAGTGACAGCCCAGTGGTCATCAGGCAAGTTTGTAGTGATAAGGCAAGCCTTTTAGCTTTTATTTACAGAAAGAACAGAAAATAAGGGTTTTTTTCCTTCTCCTTTTCCTCCTTCCCTTTCCCCTCACAAATGCAGATGTGCTCATTTGTATATTGTTGATATTGCCTTTTCCATAAAGAATTAATGAGACTAAGTCCAAAGCTGTGAAACCAGCGAGCTCCATGGCATCTGGAGCAACCTGCTTCCTAAACTATTTTTGCCTGGGGAGTAAAAAAAAAAGTCTTGTGGTGTTATTTTTCCATTAAATGAGAACAGGATAAACCTCAGGGGAAAAAAAAAAAAGTAATCTGCTTCTTGGTATTGCCAAGGATACTTCTCTGTGTTCCTATGAGTCCACAGAAGTTGCTCTAGGAGCAAGTTTTAGGCAAAAATGTAGATGATTGCTAAAGACTCAATTTTATTTGTGAGGAAAGGGCTCAGAAGTCTCTTTGGTTTAAAATCGTTAGGTAGTATGAAACTTCCATAATTCCTGAGTTGGTTAATGCCTGGGGTGCTGAATTCGCCACCTAAATGCTGATCTCCAGTGACATTTCTCAGGCTGTAGTGCTGATACACATGACAATACAATTCGGGAAGGCATTAAAAAGTTTGATTCTGTTTCACCAAAACTCCTAGAGACACAATGCACCCACTCTGTCAGAGCTATTTAAAGCTCGGTCATGGCTTTACAGCCTAGAACCTTGAGTTAAAACTCTGCTGAAAGGGTGTGGAGCAGCAAGGATAATGCAAGGAAGCTGTAGTGGAAGCTGGCACTGGCAGAAACTATTCTGGAGCTTAATTGCTGAGAACTGGGAATAATTTATTATTTCTGCCTAGCAGTATTTTTTAAGTTTTAGATAAAAATAACTGGTTCAGAAATAAGAAAGAGAGGGGTTGAAGAGTATTTGTTGTTGAGGTGTTTGATTTTCTTACAGCCCTGGATCCTGCAGGCCCTAAGTACACCAGAGCCAGCCCTGAGGAACGCCTGGATCCTGGGGATGCCCTCTTTGTAGAAGCCATTCATACTGATGCTGACAGTAAGCTGGCTTCCCTCTTCCTAAGCCTGGGCTTCTGTTCCCCCTGACATCATTATTGATAAGGGGGCTGTAGGTCATTGTCCCTTTTTTGCCAGACTACCATGAATTCAAGTTCACTCTGAGAAAGTTCTTGTTAAGAAAGGCTTTGATGACCAATTCATATCCCAGAGCACTTCAAACAACCGGCAGGCGGAGATTGCTGCAGCAGAGTGAGTTTATGAAGAACCAGCTCGGCATGATTTTTATTGCCTGAAGGGAATTTGTAGGTCAGGTTTCAATTTGGTTTTTTCCCACCTGATGTAAGAAAAGTGCCACAAGAGTGCTGTCTGAAAGTAACAGAGTCAAACCAACAGCTGGTGCTACAACAGAGTAACTTCTCTAAAGCACTGAGGATCTACATAGGCAGAACACGTGCTAAAGAATAATGTGGTGCCTTTGAGTCACACCTTTTGCCTGGAGACCATGAAAACCTTTACCAACACAACTCCCAATTATCCTTCATAATCCCAAATTAAGGCTGTGGTCAGTTTAGTTCTCCTTTACATAGAATCAAGAACTAGGGCTGCTGAGGCGGTGGTTAAGACACGGTTTCCAGTCATTTTGATGGCAGGGCCTGGAGCATTTTCTTCTCCATGCATCAAACATGCACATGTAGAAGCAGGAAATCTGGCCTTGATGTCTCCAGCGTTAGGGCTGGCTCTATACTACTAATGCTCAACCAATTATTGGGACCTGTCATCAGCATGTAGGGTAAAGCCCAAGGAAGAGCCAAGCCTGAGAATGAAGTGGAATTTCACCTCCTTTCAGATTTCGGGATCCGGATTCCTGTAGGCCACATCGATTACTTTGTCAATGGAGGCAAAGATCAGCCAGGATGCCCCCGATTCATCTCTGCAGGTAAGAGCACTCTCTGACCAAGCAAAGAGCTCTCATATTTAGCAGCCTGTGAAAATGCTGTTTGGCAAGTAGCTCTTGCTACAGCCAGGGCAGTCAGCAAAGTGAGACAAACATGTTCACAGCCCACATCTCTTTTCAGCAGTACAAGAAGCAGGTGAAATTAAAATCACATACAGATCAAGTGTTTTGGCAGCACCGCCATCAAGAGAAGCGATTTTGGTGATGCTTCTCTGTGACACAAAACCCTAGCTTCAGTAGAGATGATACATTGCTAGAAAAAGCTCTTAGGTAGCACTAACAAAAGCTGCCTTTTGTTTTCATGCTGGTAGTCGCGTCTACTTAGAATGTTCCTTCACTCCCAGTTCCTTGGGAATGAGCAAAAAGCCTGAAGCTGACAGGAACACTTGTGGCTGCTTGTCTCTGGTTAATTTTTTTCCTTGCAGGCTATAACTTCCTGATCTGTGATCACATGCGGGCTGTGCATCTCTACATCAGTGCCTTGAACCATCCCTGTCCCATCATGGGGTTCCCCTGTGCAAGTCATCAAGATTTTCTAAATGGTCATTGCCTGGACTGTGCAGAACCCTTCCTGTCCTCCTGTCCCAGAATAGGTACAGTACCAGCATGAGATCTTCCTGGAGCAGATGACAATACATTCCTGATGGTGTCAGTGCAGAGTACAGGATGCAGTCCACATTTCTCTCAGCAGGATTTGCTTTGGATCTCTTTGGGAAGAGTGAGAAGCTGTTTCATTTTCAGGTTTCTACAGACACATTTTAAAAGCTCATATACTGCGCAAGGTAGAACAGTAAAATCTTGAACATTTCTGATCTTTAAACATTTCCTACGGCCCAGATATTTGTTGAAAGAGAGTTTCCAGAATTGCCTGCCAGAATCAGTAGGCAATCAGCTCAAAAAAATGTCTTGCTTAGAGAAGCAGCTGGAAATTTTAGTTCAAGCCTGAAGTCTCATTCTTCTGCACCATCCAGTGTTACTGAGTCACCTCCTTTTCATAAATTTCTGCCGTGGTCACCCCAAAGATGATGGGGTCCAGTCCAGATGATGACCAGTCTTTGGACTGGAGAAGGTAATAGGCTTCTGAAAATGGGCTGTGGCATGAGGAAAGGAAGTGTCTTCTGCTGCTATTTGCAGTATGGTGCCAGAGGAACATAAAGAGAGGCTTTTTTTGGTATAGGTTCTCTCAGATCAGCCACCTCTTCTCCATCTCACCAAACCATTTTGCCAGCTATTCAATGATGCAGGCCATGAGTTCTGGTGGTTTGCTCATTTGACCAAGGAATTCCATTTCCCTTGTGTTTACACTGTCATTTACATCTGCACTAAGCTACCTGACTTGGCAGTCTTTAGTCTTGCTCATTTTGCACAGATGCAACTGATAGCACAGTTTGTTAGCAGAGGAATGAAAAGAAAGCCACCAAGAGGTTCTCTGGTGATGATTACCTGGGGTAGCCAGAGGAGACTTTCTGAGGGAATGTTAACCTTTCAAACAGACACCACAAACTTGTACTTGCTCTGATTTGCACTGGTGTGAGAAATGGACCAAGACAGGGGAGTCAGGAAAGGAGGTGACTGATTATATTTCTGTTTTGTCATTCATGGCTTTCCCTGCACTGACTTCATTTCCTTTCACAGGCCTGCTGGAGCAGGCAGGTGTCAACATGAGCAGGCTGCCTCAGGAAGTGAAAGTTTTTTTAATGACCAGTCCTTCAGCCCCATTCTGTGGTAAGTAGCATGAGAGAAAAATGAGCCAGAAGGGTGCTGGCCTCTGAGGAGCCCGGGTAGTTCCAGCACATCAGAATTCCAGTCCCCATCAGAGTCAGCTGCTGTGTGCCATGGGGTCTGAGACACACCACTGAAGAGCAATGACCCTGCACATCCCTTCCATAAAGCCCTTTCCAACAGATTTGTTAGTGTGGGCACAGCCCTGATCTAACACAGCCATGTGGTTTCAGGGCTGAAGTACAAAGGATGGAAAATGCCTGTTTGTTCACACTGGGCTGTACAGACATGACCCTGTGCCTCACATAGCACAGAGATTTGATTCTTTCTTATGTCTGTTTAATCTTTTCTGCTGGTGGGGCCAGGGAATGAGTGCTAGAGCTCCTCTTTTGTCATGGGTAGGTCCTACGGATAGTACATGTCCTCACACCAGCATTCTTTGCTTCTTGCTCAGTCCACCACAGCCTGGTTGAGTTCCACTTGCAGAAGAAAAGGAACAGAGTGACCAGCATTGAGATCAGTTTCAGCAGCAACAGCACCAAGGACACAGCAAAGATCACCATGTGAGTGCATGCTTCTGGCCTGTTTTTTCCCTGCTCCATGAGTAAGGATGTTTATCCTAGTCCAGGAAAAGCACAACAACAGTGTATTTCCCTGAGTGATTAACCACAACCTTGCTTCTTGAGTCCCTCCACATTTTCCTTAAATGCCCTCAAGAATCAGGCATGTGCTACCACTACTTAGTAACCCTGACTGGGTCCATGTCTTTCCCAAGTGCACAAAGCAGTAGGAACACTCTTGGAGCCCCAGGTTTGCATACTTTGTGTGGCTCTGCTGGTTCCTTTTCCACACCATACTCTGACCTGGCACCACTTCAAACTGCAATCACTGTCAGATAGTCATTAGCCCTGCTCTGGCAGACAGGGGTGGCTTACAGCAAGACCCCAATCCACCAGAGGCTCCAGACAGGTGGACTTGGTGGCTTAGACATTTCTCTTGATGCCCAAGAGGACAGCAGTTGGAAAGAGGAGACAAGTGCACCTCAGCACAGTCAGGAACATAGCTTGTTGCCTCTGCAGTAATGCAGAAATGCTCTCGCTCCCATTGCAGGCAAAACCAAGGGGCAGGGGACCAGGATCCACTGTGGAGACAGGAAGATGTCTCTTGAAAGCACCACCTTCCACCAGACTGTGTCTGAATTAAAAAATCAGACTCCACAGCTCTTGTCACCAGGGGATCTCCCCACCACAAGAAGTTCCCCAGAGCCTTCCTCACTTCCTACTCCTTGCCCACTGCTCTGGACTGGGATGCAGCTAGCACGTGCTGCTGGCTTCCACAGAAAGCAGGAAAAGAGCCTGCTAAAGTGTCCCAGCCATCTCCCCTGGGATCACAGGGCTTCCAGCGCTGGCTCCCACACAGTCCTTACTGCTAAGCCAGACTATGTGACCTGGAGCTAATTGTGTTGCTGATTCAGTCGTGGGCACCAGGAGGTAGCGGGGAGAAATGGGGAAGGGGAAGCCACACTCTAGGGTACTCTCCAGAGTGACACAGATGCTTGGTCACAGATTTCCAGCCAGGCAGCACAATTTGGGTTTGTACACCAGCCTGGTGGAGCTCAGTCTGTTCGACTCCTCCTGGTTTGGAAGCCAAATCTGCCTTTTTCACAGATGCAGGAGGGAAGAAATAGTAATAGCCAGGTCAGACCAGGACCTCTGCAGCGCTTCCATTGGCAGCTGTCGGACACTGGGTTTGGTGGGAGCCCAGCAGAAGGCATGTGAGCCATGGAGGGAAAGGCTGCCCAGGGAAGTGAGCCAGGCAGGCAATCCCGAGGCTTTGCTGTACCCTCTGGTTTTAATGAGACAGTGGAGTTAGAGCAGGGGAACCTATCCAGAGATGCCCTGCGGGGGGGAACAGCAGCTGTGTTTCTTTTAAATGCCTTTCTTAGAAGCACAAGGCTAAACTGAAAAATTTGCTTACAGCAATAAACCTACAGATTTGAGAGTATAAAATTGGAGATATCCCTTTTATTTCCCACTAGTAGCAAAGGGCAAATTTTCTCACTCTAGGCAAAGCTCAGCCTTCCAGTGCAGTCAAGCTCAGAGTATCAAATGGGCATCTAAACATAGATCCTCACATCACAGTTCAGACACTGATCGATCAGTGACTTATCTCAGATGATCTGTCATGTAAATCATCCTGCAGTTTCCCAGAAGCGCAGAGGGACTTACTTGGGAGTGTTCAGCTAGTCTCAGACCTTCAGCAAAGGACTCACATGGTTGTGTCTTGCCTCACACTGCCCTTCTTGTCTCCTCTCCCACATATCCATTCCACTCTCACTCCTCCCCACATGTTGCTCAGAATGCCCCAAGAGACAGGTCCCCAAGCTTCAGTAGCTGACATGGGCCTGATGAGTGAGGAGTTTGCTACACAGGACACTTCCCAGCTGCACTCCTGTGTGCTTACACATCACATGGCATCATCCCCCATATCCAAGGAAACATACCTCTGAAGCCAGCCAAGTCTCTTAAATCCATCCAAAGGTTGTGCAGGATGGGACCCAGCATCAGTCCCAAGAGTGGCTCTTTCAGCATGGTTAACTGTAGTGAGTTCCTCTGTCCATGGACAATGTGCCGTAGAGAGATGGCCTCCATTTGCTATCCATTATTCACTTTCATAAACACAATTTTGCCATGCTTCTTATTTTTAGCAGCTTCAAGCCAGACACAGACACACAAAACCCAGCAACTAGTGCTGCAGTCTAAGGGAGAGACTGGGTGTGCTGCTGTGGGCTGGCTGCTGTGAGTGCTGCTGTCAGCCTGTGCCTGAGAATTACTTTGGTTAGCAGAATTGTAGGCTCTTCCTGACCCTTTTGTCACCTCTCCCCTTTCCCTGCCATCAAATTTCTGATCAGACAGTCACACAGGTGGTTTTGGGACTGTGCTAAGCCAGCTGCACATATATCATTCCTCACAAGCACAAGGAAATCAATGATCTCCGTGCTCTAGGAGGTGCCAAGTAGACCAAGTGTAAGGCCCACTGGATGGACTCCATAGAAGGGACTTAAAATACCTGGGCAGCACAGATCTGTGGGACACAACTTACTGGGCTCTGGTCATTGGCTCATCACCAAACCTCTGTCATTTCTCAGTTCACATTGCCTGGGTAAGAGAATAGGGACAGACAAAGGTCCCTCTTTCTAAGCATCCCACCTTTGACATGATCAAAAGCAAGTAGCTAGAGAAGAGTATAAAAAAATCTCTGTGTAAGCATGTAGCAATACTTCCCCAAAGAGTTTCCCTGTGTCCAGTTACATCTCAGGGACTTTCAGAGCCAAAGAAGAGATCTTTATCCTTACTAGCTTTTGTACTCCACAAACCTGTCCGGTCCCCCTCCCTTGACTTGTACAGTCTTGTAAATTTCCTGGCATTCACAACATCCCAAAGCAAGGATTTTTACAGCTTGAAAGGAGTGGTACTCTGCGCACTGTGCATTTTTTTTGATTCTGCCACCTCTTAGCTTTCTTTGAGGATCCCAGTTTGTGTACTGGAAGAAATGATGCACAACTGATCCCTATCCATGCCATTCACCATTTCATAGATGTTGACTTATCTACTACTTACTTTTCTGTGGCAAGCTGAGCAGTGTTTCAATCCATATGCAACAGGAAAAAGAATTGGTGATGGAAGGAAATATATTTATACAGAAATATTCCTGAATACAGAGATAAAACATGGAGAGACAGCCTGGAAGACACTCATGCAATGCCTTGTTTTGACAGATGAGCCTTCTCCATTTTATTACGTGAGGGCTTCCCAATAATACTGCAGATTCCTCCAGTGTTTCCATGGATCCGCACATGGACTGTATCTGCAGGTTGACTGAACACCTCCCTCAATCTCTCATCCTGCCTTGCAGACCCAAGGACCAGGAGACAGGCAAACATCTGCTGGCCCACCGAGTTCCCCTCTGCCAGATAAACAGTGTGACCCTGAGGTATATCCCCAAGAATCGTTTTTGGAGCAAGGATGAGCCATCTGTTGTTGGCAAGTTCTGTGTAGCACCACTGCCTCTCAACAGCAGGTAAGCCTCAGGAATGTCATACAGGGATGCACTGAGCCTATGGATGCAGCCTGTGGTTTGAAGCAATGCCTTTTTTCCACCTATTTAGGGAAAAACACATAAAGAGGTCTTTCCCATCACCCCTGTGTCCCCTATGTAACTCATTTTGTATTTGTGAAAGAGAAAAGCTACAAAGGTAGTTCTCTAGGAGTTTTCTAAAATTCGTGCCCCAGGATAAAAGTGTAGTGCCATGGAATGAAAAGGGCTGCAATTCACATCACCTTGAAGATACTTATGTCACAAATCACGGCAAAAGCTTGTACTAACTAAATTTTTTTCCTTTGTCCTTGCTTGCCCTCTCCATCTTCCCCTACAATGGGTCCCCATCTAAAACATGACCGGTGAACATTTTTCAGGATGAGACAACGGGAGACCAATAATATATTTCTGTGTTTTATACAGCAAGGTTTATAAAACACTAAGGCTGTAGACAACCATTTTGGCATTTTCTAGGTCAGACATGGTAGAGTATATACCTTCAGCCATAGTTACCTTTCCTGGAGTAAAAGCAGCCAAGTCCTTCTCATCCTGAGAGAGATAATTGTCTTCTCCATAATGCAATATTCTTGGCAGGAGTTTTGCAGATCCAAAGTTCTTGCAGGCAGGAAAAAACAACTGAGTCTATAGTGACACCTTAAACTGTCCATCCACATTGCTTCTGAAATGCTGGCTCAAGGCTGAAGCAACCTAGTGGATACTTCAAAGAAGGTTCAAATTCTATTTTGATGGACAGTAGGGAAGCTGAAGTTCTAGGCAGTAAAATATATCCAGCAGGCCCAGATAGGAGAAGAAAAAAGGCATTCCTATATAAATACCAGGTACTCCCTTGAATATAAGGACTACTCCTTACTAGCATGTTTTGCACTCCAGAGTTGGATATGTTTTTATCACTTATGAATGGGACAGCAAGGCACATTGCCTGAAAGAGGTTCTAACCTGCACCCCTGGAAGGACTGGACTTGGCTTTGATAGAGATAGAAAGCTGTAGAGTTGCACAGGCTCACAGCTGTGCTCCTGTCACTATACTGGGAGCACTCAGAGCAACAGTGGTGCTGCTGAGATCAAGGGAAAGGTGAAGGACAGGAGCCCATACACACCCTTCCAGCCAGGGCACAGCAGCCCATTCACTATCCCTTGCAAAGCCAGCCTGACTTCTCTGTGCTCTTCCCACAGCAGGACAAGGTCGTGTCTGCCCTGGATCCTCACCCTCCCCAGCAAAACAGACATCTCCTATGACCTGCCCACCGCTTGTGCCTAGCTCTGCCTTCAGGATACGCAGAACCAGAAAGGAATCCTAGATCTATCGCTGCTCTCTGCTCCCAGATGATACTTTCAGCATAAAACTGGATGGGTTTTTTACTCCCTGCACTAGGGGCAAGATGTCAAGGAAAAGAAGTGCATGGCAGATTGACAAATACAAGTTTAACTGGTTACAGCAAAATCTTTCAGTTGAAAGACTGGATTGACATTTTTGTCTCCCAGGTTCTGTACCCAGCTCGCAAAGTGAGACAGGAAAGTCATTTAATCTCAAGGTTTGAATCTGTATTGAAGGAGTGGATAATATCACTCTTTTTGTAGTGGTATTTGTGTTAGTATAATTCATTAGTGTATTAGTGTTTTATATTAAACTGTCCTGAAATCTTCATATTAAAGGTGAAAGGTATTCTTTTTCCTCAGCAAGGGGAAACAGTGTGGTCCAAGTTTGGAAGGAAGGAGTCATTCTTAGTCAGACCTCCAATGGGAAACTCACTAGACTCATCTACAAGATGCTTTCAGAGGGAGACCCTATTGATTTTACAGCACATAATTCTCTCTGAAACTCACATGAAGTGAAACAGACACCAGGAGCAGCACAGAGCTGTCACATCCAATTTTGCACTGCTTTCACCATCTGCCCAGAATAGAAGGTAGTAGGAGAATGGAGCACTGTAGCCACAGTGCCACCTAACACGAAACAGTCCCAGGAACTCAGCACAGCTGTTCAGACCAGAAAAAGTAGTTGAAGTCTGGAAATAATTGGTGAAAGATTACAGTGGGATGCATGACCACAGAAACAACACACCCCCACCTATTCCACACCATGATACATATGCAAATTAAAGAGTTGACAAGTCTTTCATCATTTCTGCCCACAAATCACATCTTCTGTTGACCATTTTCCCTGGTTCCCTGTAGTGGCCTCATTGAGTGACAGAAAAGTGTACCAGGAATTCCATGCTCAGGAGTGAGGTACATGCTAAAAGCATTTTTGCCATGAAGAATTGTCTCAAGTCATTTGCCATGAACCATCACTCCTGCTCCACTAGAGTGTCACAGCAGGATTAGCTCCTCCTTTCAGTTCACATCCAAGATTTGGGGCCCAAAGACTGTTTGGAAGGACAGCTAACAAACACCACCTCCAACACACACTTGGGAGGGGGATAGAGCTGGACTCTGACAACCTGAGAGAGATCCATGTTAGTTGGCATCATGATTGAAGAGTTTCCCGGGAGCTTCTTGTTGAAGACTGGAATATAAGCTCAGCAGACACCAGTGAAGGGCAGTGTGTAATTCAGCCCAGCCTGGTTCACTGCTTCAGGCACATGTGTAAAGTTCCTTGACAGATGGACCCAGTGCCACTGCAAATTTCAGTTCCTTAGCAGAAGAGACCCCAGCAGCTCTCGTGTCAATCTGCTGCAGACATTTCTAAGCTGTGAAAGGCAGTGAGGTCAGGCTGAAGCACCAATGTATTGACAGAGCATGATAACAATCATGAGCAGGATGATTTCCAGGCCTGGGCTAGCCCCATTCTCCTGCTCTGCTGTGAGAGCAAAGGTGAGCAGTGCAAGGAGCTGTGTATATCACAAATCCCACATACTCACCACTCCAGAGTCCCTCAGTGAGAGTGCTTGATCCCAAGAGCACAGGTTTTGCCCAGCTGAGACTTGCAAGACAGGCCAAACCAGATGCTGGGCCACAGCCCCTGTGTGAATAGAGCAGGGCAGGGCAGGGCAGGTGGGGCTGCCTCCATCAGCCCAGGGCTGATACAAAGCCAGCCCCACAGGCAGGATGGCTGTGTCCGAGCAAGTCTGTGCCTCTTGGCACTTTCCCTGTGTTGATGGAAGGACCAAGATTCCTTGCTCTTTCCCTGAATACCTGCCCTGGAGAGGCTCCTACTCCCATTCCCAACTTGCATGAACCAGGCTCTGTGAGACAGAGGGCTCCTCCACAGGTACTTCCAATTCCCTGACTGAGGAAATGGCTGGGAAAGCTCATGAGACAAATCCTGTTGCAGCTGAACTTGGAAGAAGCCTTCCATCTCTACATTATTTTCATTGAGGCATTGTACTTCCTACCAATGGCTGCTCTCTTCACAGATGTTTTGTATCCATTCCTTCCTTCATTCGCTGTTTGTGCACCCTGAGGTCACGCCCCCTTGAGTGCACGAAGAAAAAGGTTCTTGCCTACATCTGTTCCAAATCTCAATTTCTTCCCTTTTTTATTTCAATAATCAATGCAAACAAGAAACCAAAAGTCTTTTTTCACCAGCTCCTTTAAGAAGCTGTGCTTGTCATTAATGAGAAATCCTAACTCCTGGAAAAGTAATTTCTGATCTTACTAGTGAGATGCATATCATCAAACTCTCCATTGTAAGCCCTTTACCAAAGCTGTCAGGTGGCCCATTTCCCCTTGCCCTATCCACTCTGTGCCTTGAGATCACCTCAAGTGATCTCCCTCTTCAAATCCTCCCTCCCTCCACCTCTTCAAATCCTCAAACACCAATAGTTTCATCTCTGACTTTAATGGGAATCACTGAATCAAAGGGAACACAGATTCTGCAAGCAGGCTTGTATTGCTTGCAGGATATTTGTGCACTTTGGTGACAGAGCTGCTGACAACCTCAGAGAGCAGGCTGGGGAAGGCAGCTCTGGTGAACAGCCATGGGGTGAGAGGTGCTGGAGTGTCACACTGCAGTCTTAAGCATGTGCTTCATGTGCTCCTGAGTGTAGATATCTGCTGGCAGACGTCTCTGCATGCTAAAGAGTGTCTCTGGTCAAAAACCTGTGTGAGCATCTGCTCCCTTGGAGGGGCTTTGGGATCAAAACAGCCTGTTGTTCCCTAGAGTTCGGGGGTCTGAGTGGGAGCCAGAGGGGCTCGTCCTTTGCAGAGAGGGTGAGAACTCTGGAGATGGTTTTCAGAGGCTGCAGAAAGGACACAATGGAGGAGGAAGGAAAAGGGAGCCAGGGAAGAGAGAGGGGGAGGGAGAGAGAGAGAAAGAGAATGCGCCATTACTATCAAACTTTCAAACTTTCCCAAGGCACAAACCTCATGGAGCCCACCATTACCTGTTCTTCTCCCCTTCCCTCCTAAATGAGCATGCAAAGCTATGTAATTCTTCAATAACTGATAAATTATTAAAAGGGGAAAAGGGTTATGCACTCATTCTGAGATGCCAAAAACAAACCCTTCCAAAGTGCCTTCTGTGATACTGGTTAAACAATGCCCACAGCTCCTTTGCTTTTGCTCTCAAAGCAGGTACAAAACGTTAACTACTAACTTAGACACCAAGTTGCAGACCATCAAGCATCCATCCACTCATCTCACCCACCAAACAGAAAGGCAGCCCCAAGATGTAACTGTAAAAAAAACAGGTAGCAACAGCTACACATCCTGCAAGTACTTGATAGCAACAAACTAGAACAAATGCAATGTGAACAGGAGAAAAAGCAGGCTGGTCTTGGTTCTTAAAATTTCTATGCAAGGAATAAAGCAAGCACTGAGCAGAACCTCTGAACTTGCCTCCTTTGAACAGGCAGCATCCTCCTTAGAGAAAGAATGTGCTCATCAGTGGGATATCACAGTCCATCTTACTCATAAACGGACTAGAAACACTTTCAAGAAACTAGATGACATGAATAGTAGGCCAATATATCTTCCATGAATATTTTCTTGTGCCTGACCTCTGTAGCACTTTGGCATTCAAGAACTGGCCCCCTGAACTGTAGTGCTGCAAGGTGGCTGTTGTAGTTGCAGGAAAGGAAAAGGAATGTGACCCACAGAAGCATTTCAGCATGGGGAATTTAGAGAGCTGCAAGGCGATTACCATGTTGGGAGTTACTGGGGAAGGAGATGAGAACACAGACCAGGGGAAAGCCCCAGGGGAGCTCTGACCTCAGGGACTTACTTTGAACAATGACACTGCAGGGGATTTTCCTGTTTATTACAGATGTAGAAAAAAGCAATGAAAGTGCTCTACCTGAGCCACAGCAGACCTGCTGGGATTATTTGCTGAGCTGTGACAAGAGTTTGGATGGAGAAAAAGCCTGCAGCTCCTCTGTATCACTTGTTTTTGTTGTGAGGCACTCAAGTTGCTGTGGAATATTGTCCAGATGTCCAGACAACTGCTGTTGTGCCTCTGGAATGTGATGTGGGATGTGATGGGATGTGCTGGGATGTGATGTGGTTAGACACACAAGTGCCAAGTAGGGTAACAGGGAAGCTCTCATTCCACCATTATGAACACACTAAACAGAGTTTTTGATTCCATGTCTACTTACTTTAAAAATTAAAATACCACACTGTCTATTGTCTCCAGACTGACAGACAAGCAAGATCAACTTCCTCTCCCACCTCAAATACAAGCCTTTAAACATCTGGGCTTTTATTGCAGGTTTCTGCGGCCAATAGCGGCACTCCTTGATACTGTCTCAGTCACAAAATCTAGAAAGACAAAAACTTCCAGCTCATAGCAAGACTGTGTGGAAGAAAGAATAGCTTTTTGCTGTCTTTGTTGGGCAAAGTTTTGCCCAACACACACACACACGCCCCTTTTGTGTGTATGTTCACAGTATTGCCTCACTGCCAAAAATGGGTGGAAATTTTTCAATAAAAGCTACAATGTTACTTGCCTCCTTCCTCTTTTAACTGCATTTGAAATTCTGGTTTTATTGAGTTTGATCTACTAGAATTCTACAAGTGATCTGAGAATGGACATCTTCCTCCTGAGAAGGCAAAATAGAGTCAAAGCACAGACAAAGTGACTTTGCCATGTTCACAACACTACTTGTATTCACTTGTGATTGCATGTTTTCACAGATACTCTGACAGCTAGGAGGGTGGATGTCTCAAATGTGATTCAGTGCTCCTGCCTCTCCAATAAGGCCTGAAAAAGCTGCAAGTTCGTATCTCCAGCAGCCTACCAGCAAAACCAGGAGCTTCACATTCCTAGGACAAATGTGGATTTACTTTTTTTTTCCTCTCTGTGCCTCCTTAAAAAGGGAAACAACCAACTACACAAAACCAAACAACCCCAACAACAAAACCCTGATCAAAAACTCCTGCTAACTCTTTATCTGATTCAGCCAAAACCAAATACACACGTTCTTTCCTTGGCCACTTTCTTCATATCCCAGATAATATGAAGAATACTGCAGACTTGTCAGGGCTCATGCCAGGAGCCAATGCTCCCTGCCACTGAGTCCACAGTACAAGCAGAAGTAGACCCAAGCAGGCACAGAGAAGAGCAGGGTGCAATGCTGCTCTGGGGAAAGGCAGCCACTGTAACTACAGCCCAGCCCTGCAACTTCCTCCCTGCCAGGCACACCCAACTGAGACACATGCAGGGGTCACTTCTAGGACAGAAAACCCAATCCCAAACTTGGTCCCTGGAAGCTGGATTATTGTGGGCGGCAGCAGGAATGCACATTTTGGGGTCTGCAGCTGGTGTGCAGCAGCTGGCATGCAGTGGCTAGCTACAAGTAGCTCAGGGTGGAATTTCTCTCTTGGCCACTTGGATTTGAATTTTAAGCACAAGCCACTCTCCCATCTATTTATTTTTGCCTGCATTGTTCCTCTGCCCCAACAGCCACCAAGCACAAGAATGTTTTTCCCCTGTGGAGTAAGGAGCTGGCATTTTGGAAGAGAGCATCTCATTCTCACTTACTGGAAAGCAGAGTTTGGAGCATCTTAAAACAATATTTAGCCTGTCAGTCCACCCAGGGTAACAGGAGGCAAGACCTATACCACCCAGGGCAGACTTTTCAGCACCTTACTGATCTGGTAGAGATGAATCTCAGCAGGAAAAAGTAGGACAGATCAAATGCTGGGATGAGCTGCGGTGAGCAGGGAGAGGAAGGACTCTGCGCTTTCTCCCCCTGCTCAGACCGAGTACTCGCAGGGTTTACAGCAACTTCTTGCTACCAATCTGCTATAAATCCTGAAGCTGTTTCTAGTCCTGTTGGCATCTCCTGGGATGTAGGCTCTCTCACTTGCAGAGCTCTTGCTCAGCTCAATACTGGAGTTTATAGCTCTATATACTCCAGTTTTGAGTATATAGTTTTACCTCATGGTCTCTGCGACCACTTGTGTACCACCTGCCAGCCTGGACACCACTTCAGTGTTTCTGACTCTCCTCAGGGGTGGGGAGACAACTGGGCAGGGAAGAGCTTTCTATGGCCAGGTTACTGGCTCTTCCACCCCACAGTACAGCTGGTGCCTGGAGTCAAGCCTCTGCCCTGCTGCATTTCCTTAGGAAAACCATTGAGCCCACCTGGCTCAATGTCCCCATTCCTTGGGGCAGCAGGCCAAAAAACACTGCAGAGGTGCAAACCCACGGCAGATGGGGGCCAGTGCTCTGTCCAGGCAGATGCATCACGGGAAAAACTTGCTCTGCAAGTGGGTACTTACGCAAGGGTCCCACACACGGTGAGGTGTGCCCGTGCCAGGAGTGCCCTCACTTCATATACTCCCCTTCGCTCACATAGTCCATAAAAGACCCCGGCAACTCAGCAAAATCTTCCAAGACAAGACTGGTGGAGTCCTCACCCAGCAGGTCACTGTCGGGCCGGGATGCCCGGGGGCGTGGAGCCGGCGGTGGCGGTGGTGGCGGCTGTGGTGGTGGCTCAGAGACGCTGGCCTGGCCAGAACCGGGCATCAGCTCCTCACAGTCCTCCAGCTCCCCCTCAGAGGAGGCTGGCCCGAGGACATGGTAGAGGCTGGGCAAGCGGATGTCGAAGCGGAGGCCAAACTTGGCAAAGAGCTTCTCGTTGAGGGAGTAGAGCTTCTCTGAGATGTCATAGCCCAGATGGGAGGAGAAGAGCCGGGCGATGTAGCGGTCCTTCCTCAGGAGGAGGTACAGCTTTTTCCTCGGCCAGGTGATGTAGCTGCAGTCGGTCTCGGCTGTCAGCGTGACCTGTGGGGCAGGGAGAGAGTGGAGTAAGTCCCGCTGCCTGGGCGGGGGTCACCCACATTGGAGCCATGTGCTTCACTCCAGGGAATGACCTCAGCCCCTTTGAATCCTATTCTCCTTGGAGATGGTGGGGCTGGAGAGCCAGATTGTCCTGGTTGAATGACCGGATAAATCCTCACCTGCTGCTGTTTCCTCTCCCTAAGGAGGTGAAGACCCCATTTTCCTATGCAATTAATAGCATGTCCTCATTTAACCCAGCCACAAGTCTGGCTATGATTCACCCTCTTGCTTCCAGATAATGCTCCCTATTGACATCTGAGGGATGTAGCTGAAATGAACAGGGCAGCACAGAGATCCCCATCCCTCCACAGAAATGCTGTAGAGGGGGATATTTTTGCATGCCCAGGCAGTCTGAGTTGCCAGCAAGTAGTCCTGGGGGAGGCTGCTGACCCATTCTGCTGCTGGATGGCACAGCCCCACAGACCCTGCTCCTAGAAGGCCCTGAGTGTTTGAAGAGCCACCTAAAAAGCTTGCCTGGTCATCCTGTGCCCAAGTGACACCCTATCTCAGCAGTTCTGCTGGATTCTGTAGGGCTGAATGGCCTTGAAGGACACTGCAGCACAGCTCAGTGAGAGGAAATAAAAAGCTTTTACTGTGTTCAAGTATACATAGAAAACTCATGAGGGCTTATTGGACTGATTTTAGAGAACGTTTCATTTTCCTTCTGGTTTTGCCAATGTAGAGACAGACTTCTTCCCCCTAGGTGTAGGACAAGAACAATTTCAGTCAAAACCATTATATAGTATGTAAGTGTATATGATACTAAATAATAATAAAGACAAGAAATGCAGGAATGGTCAAACTGCCCTGGGCCAAAGAAGAACATCCGAGTGTAATGGAGACACTGGCATGAGAACAAGTGCCGGAGCCAAAATATCCCGGGGGCTCCCTTTCACTCTTTGCCCAGGGGTCTCCTTGGTCAGGCGCCATGGCAGAGGGCCACTGGGAAGCTGAACATGGCTTGGCTGCATGTGTGTGTCCTTGGGATTGATATTTAATGCCACTGCCCTGCAAACAGCTGTCTGGTGAAAGAAATATAGGAGATAAAACCTGAGAACTTTCCCAGGCCAGGCAAGCAAAAAGAAAAAGTTACACAGAAATTGAAATGACCAGAATCTCATTTTCCTAACCAACTTCTGTCACAGTGATCAAAAGTGATCCCTTCTTGTGAGGGACTGACATGCAATAAGCAAATCTGCCACCAGCAGCAATACAGCAAGACAGATTTCACTCTTGAATCCCTCCTGACACAAGTGCTCCAGCATCAGCAGGAGCCTGTAATTCAGCCTTCTGGGGAAAAGTGCCAGGCCTGAAACCAAACTCCTTCAGGCACTGGGACCCAACAGTCCTGTGGGAAGCAGGCAGCCAAAGAAGAAAACTCAAGGAAACCAGCTATTCTCGTAGACTAAGTCATGCTTCTGCCATTTTTCAGTGGGCTCAGAATTGAAATTTTTCAATCCAGAGAACCATGAGGCAAGAAAAACCTTCCATGCCCTCTTCCAACAAAGACACAGAGCCCAACATGCACTTTTTAAACCAAATTATTGTGTTGCTAGGAGTAAGGTTGAGATAAGTTTTATTAACTACTTGGGAGAGAGGGACTAGTGGGTTAAACAGCTGCCAAAAGCAGCATATCACCATGGTTAAGCACCGCCACCAAGAGTGAGGTCCTTCCAGGACATCATCTGGTCATGGACTGGTCAAGTTGGACCTGATGACTGCTGGTCTTGCACAGCTGCTACTTCTTCATGCTTCTCTGTAACAACACATAGGATTTAGGTATTTCCAGCATATGGCTTTCCCTGCCTAGGGCTCTACCTCCCCATCCTGATGCCTGGCACATCTGACCTCATTGACCAGCCCTGTCTTGCACAGCAGGAGAGATGCCAGAACTTGGTGCTGGCAGGGATGGTGCAGCCTGGCACCAGCCTGCTCCCAAGCTGTCTCACACACCACAGATAAAGACCCTAAGGAGATTTGGGAACATTCAGTTCCATGGAAATCAGCTCAGAAAATGCTGTGGATGTCTTTGCAGGTTGCATGCCTGCAGTCAGCCATTTCCCTGCCCGTAGCACTGGGCAGCCATCACTCTCCCTGCTGGATTCTTAGGCAAATACAGCCCAAGAGCTAGCAGCAGTCTGCTGCCAGATTGAAGACCTGTGCAAAACATGAGATACCACCAGCCCTAGCACAGCCATGCTGTTGTTGCCCTTTCTACTTCATTACCTTGATCTGACATCCCTATTTCTGCTTGCTATCTGTAGCCCTGTGCCACAGTGACACAGCCAGCTATCTCCTGCAACCATAATCACTGGTGATGGCACTCTTTTCAGGAGCAACTACCATGACCCTTTCACACATGAGCCAAATTCAGATCCTAGGAAAGCAGATTTGGAGATCTGCCCTGTTTTAACCAAGTCTGCTTGGGGCTACCCTCATGAGAAAGCATCATTCCCTCATGACCGTCCCACAGTCCCAAGGGATTAGCAAAATCTCTCCTCAAATGCCCTAACTGACATAATCAGGATTGGCATACTGACAGGTATCAGGCCATCCTGGGATGTGCATTAAAGATAGAGGGATGTAGGCTTAAGTAATCTTCTCCAGAAGGAAAGCCAAAGAAACACTGTGGGTGTTGACAGCAAGGCCAAAATCCTTTCAGTTACTGCAAATGAGAATTGGTCTGGCCTCTCAGCAGGGGATCCTTCTGCTCAGAAAGAACCATATTCGGGTGTGAATCACCCTTTCTGCTTCTCCACGCAAAACACATGACCATCAGAAACTTCTGTGAGGAACAGGATGTTTATGGATTTACATCACTGCTGCATATTGCCACGGCTGCCATCCTGATGCCAGGACAATGCACCCTGCTAGCAGTGTGCAGGGCAAATGCACCGGCACAGGTACTAGAGAACATCAGAAGGGAAGAGAGCCAGCAATTTGACACCTTGGATAAACTGGAAGGGGCACCATGCTCCACCCTCCTTGCTCTCAGCAGATAGTAGGAGCATGCCCTGAGATCTTCAGAACAAGGCAGGAATAAAGGTTAAACAGCTGATCACACAATCCTGTGCTGGCTAAACTACCAGGAAGGGGAGAAAAGTACTCCTGGTCAGCTTTGAATGGCATAATGAGGCCTCTCTACCTCCTTCTCAGACATATAGCAAAGCACCAAGGAGCTGAGCTGGGGTTACCTGGAAAGTTCCTTCCTCAGAGGGTCGCAGTGACTCCCATTCTGGAGAGTCCAAGAACTGGTATGGAAAGACGTAATGAAGGAATTGTCCATCCTGGCACACTCGGATCCTGCAGAGGACAGGTGAGGCAGACAGGCTTAGGCCACAAAGCAGATGTCACACAAATCTGATAGTTCAAACAGTTCCACCAGGGAGGAAAGAAATACTTGTCCCACACATCTTGTACCCTCTTAGGACAGTTGGAGGTACTTTAGTGATGAGGCTATGCCTCCTTTTTCTGTGGGAAACTATTTGCTGCCACTTCCCCATACTCCATCTGTTTTCTGTTTCTTGCTACAAAGACAGCTCTCACAGGTGCAATGCTTGGTCCTCACCCAGGACTTCTCAGCCCACCGGGCTGCTGCTGCTTTCTAGGTACTTCTAAGCCAGCCTGTAGCTCTTTGTGCTTGTATCTTCCTCCTCTCTCCAGGACTGCATGAGGGCACTCCCAGTCTCGGTACTGGGAAGTCATTTCACTCAGGATCCCACAAAATCCCTCTGCCCATGGCTCCTCACAGATCACCCTGAGAGCTCATAGTTTGCTGCACATTACCACCCACTTTCTCTTCTCTTCTAAGTATCCCTTTCGCCTACTTTTCCTACAATTGCCTGACAGGGTCAAGGTCAAACGTGCAGCTCTGCTGTGGGAATCGAGAAGGATTGCACAGGCAAGCAAGGACAATGCCAGGGCACTCTGGAGTTCTATTCATAGCTCTGCATCACCAGACTCAGGGCCTCTTGCTTTCCTGTCACCATGTACCCCTGCTGTATGATGCACAAAGGCAATTCTTGCCTTCAGGAGTTAAAAGACTCTGTTAACCTATGGCTTCCAATCAGCTGCCTGGAAGGATCAGGGACTGTAAGATACATTTCCTGATCCAGGCATATTCTGCATTTCCAAGACCCCACTTGCTCAGTTTGAGAGCACCATAACAGCAATGCTCTGCTGGGTTAGCACGGACCTCACAAGGCAACAGGGTGGGTACTGAGAAATATAAATCCGTTCCCATCTACATGGAGCATCTATGTACACCCTTTACCAGCCAAGATGCACACTTCCCACTGCAAAAAAGAGCCCAACAACTACCCACCATCACCATCTTACTGTCTGTTGCAGTACTTTCATGCCCACAGAGTAGCATGAATTATCCAGTTATCCACATTATCCAGTGCAGGTCAAGACAGCACAGACTCTTCCCCATCGACATTATTTGCAGATACAGTAAACTTCAGAGCCAGCTGCTCACCAGAGATGTTTGGTAAGGGGAAGACCCACTGGAAACACATGCACCAAATTTCCCTCCAGTGCTTTGCTATTCAACATCCTGATGGATCCAGGGTGCTCTTAACACATCTTAGAAAAGGGACCAGCACCAAAAAAAAGGGAAGGTCAGCCATTCTTCTTTGCACACTTCCTCACCAGAGAGGATTGGCAACTGCAGTAAAACAGGAGCCCCAGGTGAGGCTTTGTATTACCAAAGGAAAATCCTTGTGAGACACACCTCCTGCAGCTCAGCACTGCTCCTATTTAGAGATCTTCTTCCTTTCCCATTCTTATGTAACATTAATGCCAAGTTCCTGGCAGCAGACTGGAAGCCAACACTATTGCTATTTGTATGCATCTGGATTTTGCAAATTGTTAAGTGGATGTGCTGCTAAAGGCATCCCACAGGATCTCAGGTGAACAAATGCCAGTACTTGATGAGCACAGTTCATTCAATCAAATCTCCAGTGAGACTGTCTAGAGGTCCCTGAGGTTCTCCTTGGTGGTCCAGAAGAAGGAATATCACAAATGCTTGACAGGACAGGGAAAGAAAGACAACCTGATTAGGCAGGATCTACCACAGGAGAATACTCTCTCTTTTGATGAAATGATGCTCAAAGTGAAAAATGTCAAAGCCCTGAGGGTTGGGGTGTGGGGAACAGGAACTTCTCCCTGAACACTGCTGGCCAGGGAGAGCAGGTGAACTGAGGCCTCAGCACACTCAGCACACAGCTCTACACATCACAGAGGTGTGCCTGGTACCCCCAGAGACCACAGGACCAGATACACTGCTCTCCTGCCTTGAGAAACACATTCTCACAGCCAGTCTGCTCCCATCAGAAATAAGATCACTTCAAAATGACAGACAAAGGGCTAAGGATTCATCAAAAGTATCACAGGTAAGGCTGAGCTGACCATTTCATTGTCCATTGCTTGTGTCTGCAAACGCTTCACTGAAATACTCTTAAGTTAGAAAAACAAAACAAAACTAACACCCCAAAAAGCAAATTTCCCCCTTCCCCAACAAACTGATGCATATCTCAGATCCTTTCCAGAGGAAGGAAACAATCCTCACCCCAGTTTCTACGGAGGGTGATAATAAAACAATAAGCCACAGTGGTTTGCTGTCAGACTTTGTTCAGAAATGGGGGAGCCTTTACCTGCCCGACAGCAGCAACGAGAGGCGGTCAATGGGCGTCTTGCCTTCCACTGCATAATTCTGGTCTCTGACTAGCGACTGCACCTGCTCTTCACAGCACTTCACGATTTCTTTGTAGACTTCCAGGGGCACCTGCAAGGGCAGGTACATGGTCTTGTAGAGGAGGTCAAACTCTTCTGGGATGGTGTTTCTGCGGAGCCGGTAAGCCAGGTGAGCCAGCTGAAGCAAGCAGGCGAGGACCAGCAGCATGTTCCAGATGAAGATATCCAGCCCACAAGCGCTCAGCCAGCCCCACAGAGCATAGCAGAAGTAGCCTGGGGCCAGGAGGCCAAATATATAGAGGGACCCAAAGATGCCACTTCCCCCCATGTAACCCAGGAGGACAATGCAGCTGGCCAGCTGGTAGGCTGCTTCCTCCATAATCTCCTTCCAGGCATCACACACAGGAGGCTGGAGAATAACCTGGTCCCAAGAGGGGCTGTTTGCGCTCATCCTTCCCCACTCCCCACCCTCCCCAGCCGTCCTGCGCTCAAAATGAATTGTCATACACAAAGGGTGCTGCAGAGGTTGGAAACCAGAGCTGCTGGGTAGCTGTTCCTCCTCTTCCTCTTGAGCACCGTCTGGTCCCACAGCAGCGCTTCAGAGCAACATGCTAAAAAAGTGCTGCAAATGTTTTTGCACTAGAAAAATTCCAAAAGTGTTCACTTCTCCTCTTTGTGGCTCACAAAGCGTCGGCTGGCCCCCTTCTTAGCCACAACAGTGAGAAAAGAAGCTGGCAAACGTGAGGCCAAAAGAGCTCAGTCAAAAAAAGAGTCGAGGCCATTAGCTGGAAAACTCAGAGACAGGACAGAGATCTTGCAGTGCTTGTCTTGCCTGCGCTGCAGCAAATGGAATAGCGACAGTGAGAGAGCAGCAGAGGGAGCTGGTGTTGAGTGTGGAATGTGTATCTCTTGGCAGCGGAACGGAGAGAGACCCCAAATGGATAACCATGTTTGGAATTGAAATCCAAGGAGCAACAGCAGCAAGGAGAACAGAGAGCAAGCATGCACCCGCTACTTAACATAACTCAGGCGGCCAGATAAGCCCAGCGCAGCACGAGGAGGGGAAAAAAGAAGGGAAAACAACCAGCTTATCACAGCGAGCTCCAGTCACACATGGGGCTCTCCACCGCTCTGTGCTCCTGCGAGAGAGTGACTTTCACACAGCAGATAAAAGGAAAAAGGTCACCCATTTTCCCACTGTGGCTCGTAACTGTGGCAGGGACTTAGCAAAATAAGAGAGGCTGGCTCTCAATTAATGCTCTCCAGGTCCATTACAGCTTCCCCTTACTCCAGGGAGCTCCCTCTCGTGGGGTGTTTTAGATCAAGGGGCACAAGGAAAAGCTCTGCACAGCCAGAGAACTGTGAATACAAGGGATATAACTAGAGCCTCTGGCACCCAGTTTCATCTATCATGAAGATGACACTATCCTGCCAAAAGCTTTGTGTAACACTTGGAAGCATGTTTTGTGGGGAAATCCTAGTTGAGGGATTACAGGCTCTGTTGGGAAGCACCCTTGAGAAATATCATCTCACATTTTCATTTTTTTTAATAGCTATTTAGAACTCGCCCCAGATCTTCATTTAGCCCAATGAGGACAGCCAACACTACCCACTCAGGTAACCCAGGACATAGGTGCAAGAGGAGCTTTTTGAGGTCAGTCCTCCATGGTCAGCTACACAAAACATGCATAAATACAATTCCTCCCCTGCTTCAAGTAACACATTATCAGTCACGCAGACAGGATCTGCCCCACTGCCAGGATGCAGTTACATTTCAGGCATTGAAGCAACCCACGTGGTCTCCCAACACAGTATGAAGTCAGCCTGCATGGGTCAGTGGGGTAGAGATAGGGTTTCAAGGGTGGTCGTGTTTCACGCCAAGCTTGCAGCTGCCCTGCCTAACATACCATTCCCATTGGCACCATTCAGTTAAAGACACACTAATCACCTCTCCTAACTAACAGTGCTCTGGAATAACACTGTCTCACAGGCAAGGCTGCAGCAATGCTATATGGCATTAAAGAATTCATCGTGGTCTTGGCCAGTACAATCTTATTTCTTCAATGATGAGGCCACGTGCAATACAGAGCTGCATGGTTCCTAAGAGAGCCCCCACGTGGGAAGGAAAGAAGACAAATTAAGCTTTGCACAGGATGAGTACAGTCCATTCAGAAAGGTGCTTTCTGTTAAGGGCAAAGTGAAACAGGGAACCTGGTCTTCAGAGGCCCCTTAACTAAGTGAAGAAATAAATGCTAGCTACTGAAGCAGAACAACACTCATCTGTAAGAGGTATGGGGAAATTAAGAACTCCTAGAGCCTTCCCTCGACCTTCTCTGCAAAGCAGGACAGATGATCTTGTGGCTAAAGCACCACAATCAAAATCTTGGGATCCAGGTTCTGTTTTTCATACTATTGCCATATATTCGCTATATGATCCCAACATTTTAGCCTCTGCAAAAAAAAATGTAAGGAGCTTTCTCTCCAGGATAGGCTGACATCTGATAAAATGAGAAATTGAGATATCAAGATTGTGAACACTTAGGAGAAAGATATTTTACATAAGATCTGTGAGACAAAACTGAACTGCTATGAATAGAAATGTAGAACTAGATTAGAGGAAGCATCCTGAGAAGCAGCATTGCAATTTCTCCTACCTTTTCATAATACCAAAACCCTTTTGCAGGAACATCAAAGAAAGTGGAAAAAAAGGAAGTTAATAATTTAATTCTTCAGTTAGGTAAATTCCTGAGTAAGAAATAAGCTGGAACACAGTATTAATGACTCATTAAGACAAAGAAAGTCCTTCAGCTTCAGAACATAAACAGTGGTGTTGCAGTGATGCTGAAACCAGCACTGTGGGTGAGGATGACCTGTTGTGATTTCTCTGTGAAAAGCAAACAGGAAGCTTTCAACCCACAGCAGTAACAGCACAAAGCTCTCATTAGAAACTGCACAACTTTTCTGCTGTGTCCCAATGTGACACTGTAGAGAGAACAATACAGCACTTTAAAAGGTAGATCTCGGAGCACACACTAGAGATTAATTTAGTGTTTTCAGACTCAAATTTCTAAAAGGAAGATTTGCAAAGTGATTGAACCACCAAGCCTAAATCTTCCTTTCTTCCTTGACAGTACCATGGCCATACAGATCATCTTCACAGTACTTCCAGTTTTCCACCCAGCAAAGGTAAAAAAAACCTCTTATTAGCAAAGAGACATTTTCTTTTCATGCCTTACTTTGGATTAGAGTAAGTGCCCTTCATCCAGGGATGCTGGTTCATCCAAGATGAATGTTCAAAAGCCAGTACTGATTCAATGGGAAATTGAGATACCAAAGTTGAAAACTATTTGGAATGAAGATGGCAAGTTTATAGAAAACACCTGAACAGCATTAAGACCCTTCCCTGGAAAAAAACCACAAAAGCATTACTTCAAAATGTGTTTGTGAAGAAGAAAAATAGACATGCCAAGCTTTTCAGCCCTGAAACAGGCAGTGTGGAAACAGGTACTTCACCGATTTCCCCACTTAAAATGGACTCAACCAGTAGCACTTAATATTCAGTTGCATGTGATGATGCAATGCAGGTACAGTCTGCACTATGTTTGGCAAATAAATCCTCTGTCCTTGAGAGCCACACAACACAGAGATTATCAGTCCTAAATCTCACAGCAGCTGAATGACTGGTTATTTTGCCCATCCCTCAGGAAGTCAACAGGTGATCCCATAAGCTGAAAACTAGTTTGATGACCTAAGACCTTGGTGGCTTGAAGTCAGAGAGGGCATAATCAAACACCTCTTTTTTGATTTATTATACAGTGCTGGCATTAACCTGCAAAATTGTTACACACGAATAAACCCTGTAGCTCTAAAGTATGCACATTTGATTTACAACTGTTGGGGAAGTCTCAAGCCTACCCCAGACAAGCTCACAGTGAATTACAAAGGTTCACAGATGGCATGTACAGTATGTAGTTGGGCTGCTCTATAGTTTAGTCAAGTTTCCTGCTACTGCCATGTTTCACACCCTCAAGGTATACATCACCATGTGCAGGACAGTGTCTGCCACCAACAATGTCAGTAAGTACTAACATAGGAACTCCCACTCCCTGAATGAAACCCTGAATCCCCTCCACAGGAATACCATAGTAAGAAATTAAGCCACTCAGCAAGGAATTTGATTTGACTGCAAGGCTATTCCATTGTTGATTTTGAGTATAGATTTGTCCAGTACCCTTTCTGTACTTGTTGCACACAGGTACACCAGCATCCCCACTCATTTCCAAAAACTTCCTAAAGTACTTGCCACGCTTTTACCTTCATGCAGGTCTAAACATCCCAGTCCTTAAGTGAATAGAATTTGTGTAAAATTGTGCAGGATTATGATTTTTTCCTTTTCTTGACCTAATATAAACAGCATTCCACTCTCGTTTGGCCAGTCTCTGCTCTGCTCTGTGGCACCATTTCCGCAGTTTACCCAGACCATGCTACCACAAAGCAGGCACACATCCACCTTTCAGCATTCTCTTCAGTTCATGCTCTGACACACAATGGTTCAACAAGAAATAACCTTATTGAATTTTTACCTCAAGATAGTAATAAACACCAAGAAGACCACCAGGTCCTGATACTCAAACAGCTAAAATGGTGCAGGCAGCTTTGAATGCTTTCTGCCAGAGCCACACCTGCATCCCTACTCTGAGGCTGAAAGCCAGCATGGACACAACTCTTGCCTCAAGACAGGATGTCCTGAAAACATTCCTAGAGGAAGAGTCTAAACTCTCCTCACACAACTTGTGAGTCTCAGCAGAAGCAGCATCAAGTGCCACATCCTAAATGTTCACAATCAAAAGCCAATGCTAGATTAGGATACACAGGGCCCAGCAGGCAGAGAAACAATCATGACTGCACACAACCCTCCTGCAGGATCAAAGCCAGGAGAAAAATCTAGACAAAGCACAGATTTTGTATCTTCAGCTTCTGAAGAGAAAACTCATCAGGAGAAAAAGTAATTATCATCTTCAGGAAAGTCAACTCACCACAGGAAGAGTAACATTAGGGTTGCACAGTTACAATGTATGAAGCCAGAAAAGCCCCAACTGTAACAAACCAGAAATTGCACATAATGTTTCTCTAGATTGTAAGAAGGAATCAAAGGCAACAACCACCTTCCCACTATCATCCCATACAAGTGATAAAAGAAGCCAGAAAACAAAAGCCCATGCACGCATAGCACAAGACCAACACAACAAAAACTCAGCATAAAAAAAGCGCTTTACTTTCAGGCAAGTAACCGGTGCATAAAAGTCACCTGCAGTGACAGGGTGCAATCCTCTGCTCCATTTCCCTTGAAGAACTACTGTCTCAAGCGAGTTTGATATGGGAAGTACCTAATTTTTCATTATAATAATGAAGCTTGGGTAATGGGACTCAAAAACCGTCGGAAGAATTCAAACAGGGGAAATCAAATACAGTTTTGACTTAAGGAAGCTCATTTCGTAAGTTCGTGGTCACTTTTGTACAAACATAGCTACTGTCATGAACAACACTACAAGCTTCAGCATGACTGCTAAAAGCCATGAATGCAATGCTATCAGCATGATTTCACAATTTGCATCAGTGGGAAAACCCACCAAAGTCCTTTCTGTTCAACCACACCACCACAGTAATCAGTGTTCCTATGTTAATGATTAAGCAGGCTTTTCTCATTCTCTCATTCCTGAAGCATACTGTTTTCAGTAAAGGAGGACACTGTCATTTCTTTACTTAAAAAGAAACAGAAGTCAGGAACATTGGTCATTTTCAGGCTTTTATTACGAGGAAAAAATATATTTTCTATAGCAGTGGTCAAGAGCAAACAGTGGAAAAGCTACAGATGTGATACATACTCTATCATTAAAGATTTTATAAATATATTCTTTGTTTGTATTTGCTCTTTGAAGTAACTCGCAGAAATAATTTACTTTGCAGCTTTCCAGAACACAGTCACACCAAAGACATCATCTAGAAGAGAAAGGAAAGACAGCTTCACAAAACATGGATTTCCACTGGATATCGAGCAACAGTTCAACAATCAGCAAAAAAAAACCCAAGCACAAACCCACAAAAACCAATATGTACCCTAGCACCAGAAATTTAAACTGAGGTTTGGATCTCTTAGAAGACAGCAGAGGCAGCACCATTCTCTACTGCTGAAGGGTGACTCACAGAGGCTGGGTACTGCCCAGGGCTTCACCACCCTCACAGGACAGCAACGTTGGCTGTAATGTCAATGAGGATTGCTCTGCCTTTTCTGTTGTAAGGGCAACACCATCATGAACAGTACTCTGGGCCTGCCAGTGGCACCAGCTGAGGTGCCAGGACACTTCCGAGGCAGAGGTCCTGAAGGCTGTACTCACCCCACTCAGTCCTGCTCATCTCCTCATATTTTGAAGCCCAGAGCTCTCATACACTCTTTGTGAGCTTCAATTAGGTGCCCACAATTTTCTTCTCCCTTCTCAATAATGCTGCAAAACAAAAAGATTTCCAGGGTTTAGCAATAAAATGTTCACTTACTTTTACTCAAAAAAACAGAACTGACAAACTGTTGGGGAAAATTAAAAATCCCTATTAGGATCCAGAGGACTGTTTTTGGTGGTTTTTTTTTTCTGTCCTATCCAGGGTAGTGATGTTTTGGACAGTATAAAACTATCCCAAAAAGTTACCCAAGTCTGGAGCTGTGCACCTAAAACTCTGACAACAGGCATACCAGAACTTCCTGTTAACAGGCCAGGGTCTATTCTGGGCAAGTCCGGATGGGGATTTGTTATACAACACAAGGCTGTCACATCATCAAGTACGCTGAGCTTGCGAGTTTCAAATTATTCAGTAGGGAAGCAACAAAATTTCTCCAGTTAGAGACCAATACACAACAGCTGAATCAGTAAATTATATTTTAGTCCAACTTCAGTTGCAATTTAAGGACCCTGAAGCAAAAAGCAAAACAAAACACAGCACCTGTCCAGCTATCGTTGAAAAAATTATTCACCGTATATGGTAACTTTTGATGCTATCCATCCAAGTAAGAGCTTCTCATTGTTGGTATGTCATATGTACCACAAAAATATTTCAGACTTGCTTTTTGACTGAATGTCAGAGCTGTTTAGTTTTCTTCTTAGGTTTTACTACAATGAGCATGGACACGTCCCCTGGCTGCCCAGGGCAACTCCATCTGACCAGTAACATCCATCCTACCACCCTTTTCTTAGGTGGCCCTGGATTCACCACCACTCTACCATGTACATGCTCCCCTGAATTTAGCAAAAACAGTGTTCAGTATTATGTCACCTACCAAACACCATCTATACCACCAGCGAAGTAGTTAAAAAAAAAAAAAAAACAAAAAAAAACCAACTTGGTCATCAAGATAAAGTTTTTTAAACTTTAAAGATTCACTGTCAAAGACAAAGGAGCTCCATTTTGAGGGTGCATTTCATACTGTTTTATAAGTCCTATGATCATGACTAAGCCCATAATTACCAGTGCAGCTATACAGGTCACCGTCAAATTTTGAGCTTCTTTGGGAAATATCATCCTCTGAGACTCAAAAAACCAGAGTATTTTGCTTTATTTAAAAGAGAACATAATTTATACTCAGGTGAACAACAAAGAAGTTATCATCTGCTGGTACGTGTTGCTTCAATAGTGCAGATTTACAAGCAGGCTCTTTGAAACCTGTTTTAAACTCGGGCTGTGAGGTTTTAACCTCTTCGTTGCTAAATTAACCTTTTAAGACAGTTTCCTCGCCTTCTCTGCACTCTCCCTCCTTCCTCGGATGCTCCCGCACCCTCCGTTCGGGCGGGGGGAGCTCCCCAAAACCCCCAGCGCACGCTGGCAAGGGCACAAACCCCTGGAAGGGAGGAGGGGGCGGGCCGGGCAGGCATCCCGGCGGGGCAGGGCGCACACACCGGCGGGAGGGGGAGCGCCCGGGCGCGGAGGGGCCGCCGCGGGGAGCTCGGGCCGGGTCCCTACCAGGCGTCCCGCGCCTTCTTGGTCTCGGGGCAGGCGCAGCAGGCCTTCAGCGGCTTTTTCTCCTCCCGCGCCTCCCCCGCGCCCTTGCCATCGCAGCTGGCGGCGGCCACCGAGGACATGGCGGGCGGTTCCCGGCACCCTGAGCCCGCGGGCAGAACGGGCCGGCGTCAGCCGTACGATCACTGCTGGTTCCGGGAAACCTCGCCCGCCCCTTCCCGGCCCGCGGCCTGCTGGGAGAGAGCGGGAGGTGCGGAGCCCTCCTACCGCCGGCTCCGCCGCCTCTTCCCGGCCGCCGCCCCAAGGCGAGGGCGGGCGCTGCCGCACAGCGGCGGGGCGAAAATGACGTTTTAGCAGGGACACTCGGTACTGAAGGAGCCAGAAGGGGAAGGAGGGAGCGGGCGGCGGGGAGGAAAAATGGCGTCGTCAGGCGAGAGCCGCTGGCAGCTGCTGCAGTCAGCAAGAGCAGCGAGTGACGCCCTGGGCTCCGCCAGCGCCGGGCTCCGCGCTGGAAGTTGTGGCCAGCCACCTAAATCTCTTTCTTCCTACTCAGCCAATGGGGAAAACAGAGGATCTGTTCTTTTGCTGTCCATGCTTGACATGCTTCAGTGATCTCAGACCTGGGGGGAAAGTTACAGATCTTGGAAAGAAGAATGTGCAGTGATACTGGACACAAAGAATGCAGAATTTACCGGCCACAGGGACATCTGGCAGAGCTCCCAAGATAAAGAAGAAAGTAATAAAGCCAACTCAGCAATTGTGTTAAAATAGCTCCAGCTGGGTAAAAGTTAATTCTGGTAGGGGGAGATGATGACCACCAGCTTAGGTACCACTGACCCCAGAAACCGTGTATTAAGGGGATCCAAAATTGTAGGAACACTGATAAGAACAAGGAGAAGCAGAAAGTGTCATGTAACACCTAATCAGTCACCTACTGAATTATCCATGGATCTCTGCTCAGTAGCATGTTACTCACTGTGCCATTTCTCTGGCAAGACTGTTCAGGTGACCTGCACCCACACCTGAGCCTCCTGGTTCAGCACACATGCACTGTGAGGCCATGCAGCCAGGTATGAGGATCTGGAACATGTACAGGTTGCACTTGTTGACCAAAATATGATTTTCCCGAATTCACATAAACATGCTGCAAGATAAAAGCCGAGATTGAAACATCTATCAAAAACACACTTCACTTCTCCACGTGCTCCCTGCAGGGTAACAGTTTGTAACAGAATTGCCCCAGAAGAAGGAATCGTTTCTTGGTGGGATGAAAGGACACAGGCTGTTAAGGGAGGAGAAGGAAGAGAATAGCCATTAAAGCACGGTTAACACAATTTGATACTCATTGCACCAATTTAGAGTACAATGCAGAGGGGAGACCACAGCCATTTCTCTTCTGAATTGCATTATGCATAAGAATTGATTGTTAACTCCGTGATTTTTGTTTTCTGTTTGTCCTCTGCCTACTGACAATGGCAGATGAATTATGTTAGAGAGCTATGTGTCAGAAAGAACAGATTTATCTACCAGTTAAGGAGGAATAGCTAAGGGCAGGCTACTGAGATGAGACTGTGAGAAAATTGTCAGAACGAGTACCCAGGAAAAAAGATCCAGTGAAAGATCTCAGTCTCTGAAAGGGATAATGAAAAAACCCTCCCTTGAGCTGCCATATCATTTGGTAGCCTGGTGCCACGTGTAAGAGTACGAGGACTGCAGGTCGCACTGGTTATTTACAGCTCTATATTTAGAGGACTAATGGGTGAAATCGGGAGAGACTGCCCGGCTGTCATGGGTTTCCAAATTATTTCCCCCGTATAGCCCTTTATCATAATTGAAGAACATACAGCAGCAGCTCATAATCTGTAAACATCACAGCAGCACTGCAATCGTTGTTGGCTTCTTGTGCCTTCAGTTTCACTCACTAAAAGAATGGTTGTCCAAAAAAATATGTACTTGTCTCCAATGGACAGATTTTTCAAGGAACCTAAAAAATGTATTTACATTCATTGTTAATGTTAGGTTTGGTAAGCCCCTATCAATGTCAGTTGAAAGTAACAGTCTGGGGCAGTCTGGGGTTTTCCAGATTTTTTACACTTCTGATATACATGATAGAAGGTAAAAATTAAGCTGTGGAAATTTTGTGTGATGAAACTGAGCTGAAGGTATTTTGATATTTTCCATGTAGCGCCTATTCTGGGAACAACTTTATCATCTTGAAAAAAGAAACCTGTTCAATAAAGTCTAAAGAAGTATTTTTGGTTTTGACTGAGTATAAACATAAGACAGCCAATGTTCCAGCAGCCCTGTAAACCATATGCTGTGTTTTGTTGTCAAAGAAATTGGTTGTGTTTTGTGTCAATGCTTAGATAACATGAAAATTAAGGATTTCAAAGCTCTGGGCAAGATGTCTTGTCAGGACCTTGCTGCCTGTTACATTAACTGCCCAAGAACAGGACAGAGTTTCTCTTTTTGATCCAAGTTGCAGATCTGTAACTACCAAATGCTAATCACTCAGCAGTGGGACCAGAGAGAGAATGAATGCTGGGATAGAAGGACTTGTGCTCTGATCTAGTACAATGGAAGAGACTCTAGGGTGATTATTTACATCCCCTCTAAGCTTCAAACCCCGCCTTTAGGTGAAGGCAAGGCGTTTGAATACTGGACTGATATCACCTCAAGAAGCAATGCACCAGTCCCTTCCCAGACTGAAGAGCCAAATCCTCAGGTTTCAGGACTACAACATGAATTCTGTACACAAGGATTCTGTACTACAGGACTGAACCATCTCCTTCCTGGGAGATCACCTTGGAAATTAGTATGGAGGAAGTCTCCTTTCTTACTGGCAAACAAGCCCTTAGAAACACAAGAGCAGAATCAAGATTACTTTTAAGACTTTTGTGTCTCTTGAATGCTCTAAAAAGCCAGTACTCCAACAGATCATCTCTTTCCAGAAATACAGCCAAATCTTCAGAGCATCAGTCTGGAGGCAGAAGGTAGTTTTAAAGAATGAAGTCACTTTCCAGTTTAAAACCAGAACTGCTATCTCTAACAGCAAGACTCAGCCCACAGCATCCCAGATATTCTGGGGTCTCAGAAACTCTGGCCCTGCTCTCCTTAGTAAAGAAGACAATGACCCTCCTACAAGCCTTGGTATGAATTTAAAAGATATTAATGCCTTCCTCACATTGTTTTCTGCACATCTCTTACCAGTTTGTGCTAGGTTTAGGACTTTCATCACTTTGATATTATGTCCCTCCTTGTCACTGTCCATTGAAAGCATATCCAAACATTAGTAAAGACAGGAATTTGCCACACATGCAACACTGCAAAATCTGTATCAGCAAGTTCTGTGTGCAGTCTCCCTGGTAATAAGACAAAAGAAGGAAGCTGGTGTTTTGTACCATGCCACAAAATAACCTGCCCATCCCACATATGTTAGAGCAGGAACTATAAGCCATTAGACACGGGACATGTGGCAGCTTTTCTACAATGCAGATATGCAGCAGCTGATGTTCAGTGTGCATTTAAAGGCTGGTCAGGCTTATTTCAGCGTTTGCTGGGTGACTGACCAGCTGTTCCCTTTTGTGGAGGGAACACCCATGAAAATCTGAGCATTCTGGAATAAAACCCATTGCACAGACTTGTGGGAAGGACAGGTGTTTGCACTCAAATGGCAGCATGTGTTACCAATACAACAAAAGAGCATGACAGAAGAAGACAACTGTCTATTTTCTGATAGTCTCTGTGTCTGATAGTCTTAGTAACGTAGGAAATTTTAACCTGCATTTAGGAAATAACATCAATAGTCCTCCCAAAGACATGAATCTGCAAAAGGCTGTCCCTACACAGCAGTCAGACTTGCTGTTTCAGGTAAAAATCAGAAAAAAAAAATTTTACTAGGTTCAAAAGCACTTAGGCATGAAACAGATACACATTAGTCACCCATGAGGAAGTTGATTTTTTTCCCAATATTGCAGAGTTACCCAAGACAGCCGCCTGTAAAGATCTTTCCAAAGAGGAAAGCTCTTCTATTATCAGTTCTCATGACTTGAAAGAACAAGATTTTCAAACTTCTGCAAAAAGACCTATATGAATTTTCAGAACTTACCAGAATCAGACAACTGAGCCACTGTTAATATAAACCACTACATGCATGCATCTCCAATTAGTCACCCCACAAAAAGCAAATACTGCCTAAGGTCTGTTGCTTGTACATCACAGGAAACCTCATTCAGAGCCCAAGTCCAGGAGCCTGTGTACTGAAAAAAAAAAACACATCTTACTGTAGCTCCATAAAATCCTTCATAATAAAAACTTCTAACCTTTATCAGTTCTGCTGCAAACCAGGCAGTGTTTCTGCAACTCTGGTGAATGGTGTTCAGCTGTCAGTCAATTGAGAAGCAGCAAAAGAAACTCCGCTTATTTTCCACTGCACACATTCCATTTGTCCTTTTTTTTTTCCTGTAAGTGTTGCTGCTATTAACAATTTTATTCTGCTTGATGGCATGCCATTTTGATGCCTGTGTCAGTGGCAAACTGGGCTTGTTTGAATATATTCAAGTCTCTCATGATTTTATGAAATATAAAGCTCCACTACAGAAAATGGTTTAACAATCTCAATGAACTGCAGGACCTAACTGGAAGCCTGGAAGGAATCCTTAGCATTTACAAATACATGAGTCATTCCATATTTGAGACTTTACTGACTACAGCTACATACTTCTATGTACTCACATTCCAGCATCTCACTTATTTTAAATATTGCATCAGGACGTATACTGTGCAGTGCTGCAAGCTGCTTATAAAAAGCCTGCAACATCACATATCTTCTGAATCCATTCAGAATCCCCACAGCTGTTTTTTCATGGAGTTACGAGATAATGTAGAAAGTTCAGTCACTCTGAAGCCATTTCTTTCACATAAGTGGTCATTCTAGATTTCAACTTTGAACACCTCATTCATTTGCACTTGTTTTCTTTTACTTTGCTTCTTGCCGATCTTCTCAAGAATCTGTAGAATCCTGGTTCCCACCAAAATCAATGGGACTTGACTATCATGTGCTTAATGGTCAGATTTTAAGAAGCATTAGGATACCTTCATATGCAGGTGGAGGGATTCTCAAGAGAGCCTACTTGCATTGACATCTTCCTTAATACATTATATATCTGAAGTACAATTATTTTTTTTAAAAGTGTCATGGGAACATAT